GCAATCCTTGCTTACAGAGATTCTGTAATGTTTTCACTAATCTTGTATTTTAATCTCTCTCTCTGTACCAAATTGTGTATTTTTACTCTTTTCAAAGTACATATGCAAGCAGTAGAGGAGAAATTTAGTGTAATACTACAACACCTAATAAAAAGCTGAAACACTTAACGAAACCGGTCGATCATGAGAAATGATTATAAAATTTTGAATTTTTGTAATCTAAAGTATGTCAACAAACTATAACACAGGAAGATGTGTAGATAAATGCATCGGAGTATTTTGCTATACATGCATTATCTACCACTGTAAGAATTACATTTCCATATATCAAAAAAATAACTGACAGAGCAAACACCAAAAACAAATAAAGATACCATACAAGTTTTACAACAAATCCGATTACCTTAAGAAGATCAATTTCTTCTTCCTTTTCTTCTAACTCACCGCACCGTTTGGCGCAAATTCTTGCTTCAGTTTTATCTTCCGTTGAGGTCAGCAAACTGAGTAAACATGGCGGTTGAATGTTCGTCCACCGCCGAGTCATCCTTCTCTTCAGCCTGAGAAACCGGACGTTCACTAGCGGTGGTGGTGATGGCAATGGTGGCAGGTGCAGCCGTCGCAGGCTTATCGGTTTCAACCTCCTCAGCTTCAGTTTTACCCTGAGAAAATGCTTCTTGAAGCTGAAGAGCATACTCCAAGTTCCACAATACATCTCCCATAGTTGGTCTATCAACACCGTAATCCGCTAAACACTTCTCTGCAGCTTCTGCAAACTTCTTCATAGATTCAGGATTCACAGTGCCAACGAGATGAGGATCGATGATCTTTTCGAGCAACCCTTTTTCTTTCCATTGCATAGCCCATTCGGCTAAGTTAACCTGTTCCCTCGGAAGCTGAGGATTAATGGCTGGTCTTGCGCATAAAGCTTCTAGAAGTACAACACCAAATGAATAAACATCGGACTTGTCTGTAAGTTGTTGTCTCCTGAAGTATTCGGGATCTAAATACCCGAAACTACCCTTCACGGCCGTGCTGACATGGTTTTGTCCCAATTCAACGTCTTTGGAGAGACCAAAGTCAGCGACTTTAGCAACTAAAGCTTCGTCGAGGAGGATATTTGTGGATTTGACGTCACGGTGGATAATGCCTTGAGCTGTTCCTGTGTGTAAGTAGTGAAGACCACGAGCAGCTCCTATGCATATCTCGAGTCGTTGTTTCCATGTCAGAGGAGAAAGGTTTTTACCGTAGAGATGGTCTCTGAAAGGACCATTGGACATGTATTCGTAGACGAGGATCATCTCTGAGTTCTCGTCGCAGTATCCAATCAAAGAGACTAAGTGTCTGTGTCTGAGTTTAGACAGCATTTGAATCTCAGTGTGAAACTCTGTGATCCCTTGCTCTGACTGTGGATTGCCTCGTTTGATGGCGACTTGAGTTCCGTCATCGATGGTTCCGATGTAGACGTTTCCGAATCCACCGACACCGATTATCTCTGATGCATCAAAGTTCTTTGTGACTTGCTGAAGTTCTGAGAGGGAGAAATTGCGTCCGAGGCCAAGCGCAGAATTGTACAAGTTGGATTTCTGAGAACCACCTTTGCTTGTCATGAAGGTACTATCACCTGCGTGTATCGGTAACAACCAAGAAGAGAAACTGTTCCTCTTCTGCCAATCTTGTGGCCTCTTCTTCCACTTGTAAACCATTGCTCCAAGACCAATGAAAGCTCCAAACATCATCACAAATCCCGCGGTTGCAACCATCCCGTGCTTCCCCATTCCGGCTGTTCTACCATCAACTCCAAACTCTCCGTCAAGACTGTTTACGGAGTTGCTCATCTTCAGAACCTCGACTCCATTCAAGATTGCGTTTTTGGACCCAGTGTCTTCTCCCATGGGACCAATCTGGACCTGAAGCTCAGATTTCATAAGGGTCGAGTTCACTACAATGTCTTTGTAGTAAGGAGCAGCGAGATCGCCAGCTACAGTGGATAAATCCAGCCCGGAAATGGCTGTCTTGCCATTGATGTAAACGTTGAAGTAGAGGTCATTGAGGGACTTACTGATGATGTCACAGAAATGAAGACGAATGAGGTAGTGGAATGATGGGTTTGATGGAAAGTTCCATGTCACATTGAAATTAGGATCCATGGTGTGAGAATCAGCCATCTCCGCGGCTGTTGCGTAAACCGTCTGTGGCGCAATCAGCGGTGTAGTTCCAGGGGGATACTTGATCGCTGTAGGTGTTGTTTTGACATCCTTAGCCATATTCTCATCTTTCAAGTATTCTTTGTCAGGTGTCCAGGTTCTTCCTAGTGTGTCGTTCTGAGGCGTGATCAGGGGACCACCAACATTAACCCTGTAAACCGACTGGTATGCGTAACCAGACAGACCCGAAAAGCCGTTGACAGGGAAAAGGGAAGTGCCTGCATCAGAGATAAGTTCGTCCGGAGCTGACACGACTTCGATAGCGTTAATGAAAGCGGCAGAATCTTTCATAGGTTTGAAGCTAAGGGCGAATTGAGCATCCGTTATGTTGACGAGGTACTCCTTCTGAAGAACATCATTGTTGTTACTCAGTTTAAAGTTATGAAGCAAGACGTATTTCTCTGTTACAAGAGAGAAAGTTGCTTGCTGGAGATCAAACTTGTCATTGGGGAAGGCAAAGAAATGGAGGCGAACCCAATGCCAACCAGGTTGGGTCAAATGGAACTTGTAAATGGCTTCTTCGCGGAAGATCCTTGCTGTCAGGTAAATAGGAGAAGGGAGTTTATCTGAAGGTCGGGCAGAGACCTGAATATCGTCTTTGGCTTCTATAAACTGAACCGTCTCTGAGTCGCTCTTAAAGACTCTACCTTCAGGGGTTTTGGCTGATGACTTGGCTCCGCAATCAATGAGAATGTCATCTGCCGGTTTAAAACCACCACCGATGGCTGCCGCTGAAGCTAGGCCGGTTAGGAAGAGGAGGACAGTTAAGAGACGAGGCATGAAGGGCCTGGAAGAAGAATCTAAGACAAGAAGCAGAGGTATATTTGGTTTTGTTTCTTATCTACATCCCTCCTTCGTGGGAGGAG